CCCCAAAACCCCAAAACCCCAAAACCCCGGTTTACCAAATTGGCATTGAAATCTTTCAGTTGAAATAAATTCTGCGAAATGCCACCCTCCAAAAATGGGCTCAAACTCTAAAAACAGTTTGCTTGCTTTTCAAATAATTTCGGCATACTCTTTTATTTCTTTGCTAGTCAAATTCACCTTGTTTCTCTTCAGCTAGTCCAACTATATGAAGTAGTCTAGAAATTAATAAGCCGTATCATGATGAAAGTGATTACAGAACTCCTCTATATTTCTCAAATATTGCCAAAACCACTACTAAAGGAACTGTGCCAATGTAGATATTATGAATGAGGCTTGAGAGGGGTGGGTTTTTGGATGAGTAGATTTTGAGCAGTTTGAGGTGAATTTTAGGTATGTGAAATTTTCTGGAGAAATTCAGGTTTACGGTCTGTAAAGCAGAGGATTTTAAAGGAGTAATCAAATTTAACCCAGGGTCGTTCAAACTTTCTCCAAAAATAGGTCACGAGACTCTTTAAACTACGAGTCTCTTCAATTGAGGTGATAGTACTGATGGGATGAGATAAGTAGGCTTCAAATATTAATGCATTGAAGGTAAACCTTGAAATATGCAAAAGTGTAGAGCCCAGAAATTAGAAATTTTAGACCCAGCTTCATCTCAAGATTGCTTAATGGGCTTTACTAAAATCAAAATTAATTTAAGCAGGCAATCGTCTATTAGCTTAACTCGGTCTACAAAGAACTCTGGAGAGTGATGACTTACTTCAAGCAACATCGGTGATTACAGTAAGTATTCAATTTATATTTGGCATACATTTGGGAGAGATCCAGGCATCCTTCCTTTCTATGAGAGATGATAAAGTCTTGGCCATAAAGTGGCTCTACATTGAGGCTTCTTTTAATTTTATGAAAGTTGTTTAGAAATTTAGACTTTGGGTTTATTATTACTATCCTTATGAGCAAAACATTGCTTTAAAGCTGGTAAATAATAATCATAGCTTCTCTTTGACTCTAGAATTACATTTAGGAGGTCTCTGATGTTGATATAGAAGAGAGTAAGGATTTGGAGTTCTTCAAAAGATTTCAGCATTCGATATTTCTATTGCTAGTAATCTTATAATAAAAACAATCCTTTGCCTTATAAAATTAATATGAGATTAATCAGATGCTTAACAAGTTAAGGAGTCTTCGACTAGCAAAAATGAGAGGAAAGTTATTACTAGGCACTAATGTTATGATCGAAATTTCATATATTTCTCAACCTAATTTATTACTTCCATTAATAATTTGAGGTGGTACTAAAGATGGACTGACCAAAGAATAGTTCCCTCACCTTTAAATTTTGCTTAAGTCTACTTTCAGAATAATTTTAAAACCTAGTGAAGCTGTGGTTAAGGTCTAGCCCAAAAATGTCGAACTTCTTCGACCATATAATTACTGATTTCACCAGATTACATTCCTCGATAAATTTGTTAAAACAAGTATTTTAGAAATCCCAAGATGGTAATCTAGCACTAATTTCTTCACAAGAGCAGGACATCCCAGAATTAGCAACAAGAAAATGGCGTTGATTAAATTTATGCTAAATCTAGTCGGCTTCTCAAACTAGTACAAGAGAGCATTAAGGCAAAAATGCATTTAGCAATTTACTTAATTTTCTGGCTGGTGAAGGAGGACTCGTATGAAGCTGAAAAGAGTCTGAAAATTCATCAATTTGGGTGGACAATAATGTATAAGTTGATAAAAAATTATTGCAGCCTCTTTTAGTTATTTGATTTTAGAGCTTATGGAATGTAAGCTTCCTTCAAAGTGTAGAGTTTGGCTAAGAAATAATAAAGTTGCTACATTACTCTAGCAAATATGAGGAGACACTTTCCCGATATGACTTTATAACCTGAATGTTCAAAATTCAATCCTATCCATTGTGCCACTGAATAAATATAGGCTGCTTTGAAATTGCAACAGTTTTATGTTATGTTCATACTAAACTGGTTTTATTTTTACTCAAGCTGATGCAGCTATACAAAAATTTGGATGTCCTATTATTTACAATATTATGAAATGTCTTTAGAAGTGATCTGGGCTCCTCTTGCTCAATTGTAATCGATCTCTTTCACTAATTTCTAAGGTCAAATTTATGCTAAATTTATCGAATATAGTAATTTAATGCTTTTTCTCAGAATTTCACTTCTGCTCTTTCTCGTAACACAGAGCTGCATTAGCTTATAAGTTAAGGCGAAGAGAACGAAGAGTTTGCAGCATGGAAATTTATATCTTTATGGTAAATTTCCTTTTAGAGAAGGAAGCTCATAAAAAATTTTCTTAAAGCTAAGCTTTAGTATTGTATAATATGATCCCAAGAAAAGTTAAGCTTCTTTAGTACGAAGAATTAAATAGGGCAAATAATTTGATGGCTCTCTTTTCAGAAAATGTAGATGTCCTTTACATTGATTTAGAGAAGATATCATCAGTCAGGTTAGAAGCTAAAACCCAACTGTACATTAAAATATGTCAACCCCATTATTAATATGAGTTTACTTAAGCTACATTGCAAAGCCAGAACAGAGTTCTTTGGCATAACTTTTATTCAGAATAGGTAGGAGAGAAGCCAGTTTTAACCAAAATTTTATTTAAGGATTATATAGGTATGAATTCTGTGAAGCTCCTGAAGACTTTTGGTTCTTTTGCACGATTCCATGCTTCTTCTCAAGATGAGTCTAAAAGAAATTAGCATCATAGCTAGGATGAGCTTACCCTATAGTTATATCTTTCAGTAAAGCTGCTGTTTCAATATTCGCATTTGAACTTTTTCCTATTGCTAAGTTGAGGCTTCTCATGCTGAATTAAATGCTTTCTCATATTTCCCTTCTGGGTAAATCCTTTCCCGCAGAATTTACAGACGAAGGGTCTCACTCCATAATGCATTCTAATGTGGTCTAGTAAGTTCCAAGTCCTCATGAAAGTTTTGTTGCATTTATGAAAGTCTCACTTGTAAACCATAACCATCTTTCCATTCTTATCATTTGGCTGGACAAAGCTTGAGTAAGGATATCCTTCCAAGGCCTTCAGGTTATCTACGTTCGTCTTTGAAGTCTGGTTCTGAATAATGTTCCTAAAATTCATGATATGTAAAGATCTTTTAATAATACTCAAATTTCTTTAAATAACCTATCTTTACTAAGACAAGGACAACGATGCATACCTTGTTTTCCATGAATTATGATGGTCGTAATGATATCTAGAAGCATATTTCTCTTCTTCATTTCTAGAATAGAAGCCCATAGTGTTGGCCCTCATCTATAACATCGATATAAGAAATTCAAATTTGGAGTAAAATGGAGTTTTGCTTACTGCTTCATTCAGATTTTTTGGCTGGGAGTAAATCTGCTCAACATTAAGCATTCTTTGTATTATAAAAAGAGTTAACAAGCGAAAAGAACAATGCTTAGCATACATTGCTTATCAAATTCGAAAAATTATGAATTTGAAGAGGAGGAAGATATCCTCCAGTAAGTTGCACTAGGATTTCATCAATTTATTCTAGAGAAATAATGGAGCATATCAAGGTGAAATTTCAGGAGTGTTAATCTCTACTTACTCTCTGGAGCACAGATTCAATATGTCTCTGCTACAAACCTTATTTGTTCTGTGAGCTGATCTATAGATACAGGTGAGAGAATTCTTTAATTGGTGATCAACAACAAGATTTTTATCAAACAGAAATTTAGAATAAACGATCAGTCTTTCATAACATTAAAAGAGTGATGCTTAGGTTATAAGAATTATAATGTAGCGTACTTTCCCAATATTTGTACCCTCATGATCATTTAAGAGAGTATGATAGGACCATACTTTGACTAGCATGAATTTGATAAAGAGTCTAGCTATTATTTGGGTAAAATGCCTTCTTCATAGTACTAATCTTTGACAAAATGATTAGGAATAGATCTCTGCTAATTTCAAGCTAACATGCCTTAGCTATGAAGATAACACAAACAGAGTTATTTAAATGAACTTATTGATGAAATCGTAAAAGGATATCGACTCATCTTTCAAAATATGTCCTTATGATAGACTGGCCTTCCCAAAATTAATCGAAACTTTATTTTCTAATTTTATTTCTTACCCAAGAGTTTGCTAAAAAGCAGTGAGGATTTTTATAAATAAAAATTACTCCAAGAGAGCTAGAAGACTTGGTGTCTCAGCATTAATAGCATATATTTGAGCAGATATCTATCTTACTTAAGTATGCCAACTAGCTGACCAAAAAAGACGAGCCTTGTTTGAAATAAAAATTATCTAAATTAAGTTTGACAATAAAGTGCCTATTAAGAATTATTACGAAAGCTAAAGCTCACCACTGAGTATAAGCTCCTAAGGTCTGGAATTAAGTCTCAGCTAACATTTTTAGAGTTCAAGAATAAAATTGGGATGGGTTAAGATGAATTCTGGACCTTAGGTCTCATAATTCAGATAGTTTATAACATATTGTTTTCTTCTTGCCTTCTTTCCAAGCAAGAAACTTAACCAGGCCAAATACAGCCTATTACAAAAATGTTTGCAGATTTTTAATAATAGTTAATATTAATAATTTGCAAAAGATAATTGCTTTATTGGGCCAAAAATAAAGAAGATAAAATAGTCATCTGCTTTCAAATTAGGAAAACAATTATGACTTGCAAAGTTATTACCTTTATGAGCTTCAAAACTGATCTGATTCAAGGTTTGAGACTGCATTGGAATATCTCTGCATGTGGGCATGTCATTGAAATTCATACCTTCATTCTGCCAAGGTAAAGCGCCATGAGGTGGTTGATAGGTCTGTGTATTCATAAATCCTGAACCTTCCATGTTTGAATATATCGTACTCTTAATTTTATTAAATATGGATTTCTCTACAAAGCTCTGCCCTTATGGGGTTTTGGGGTTTTGGGGTTTTGGGGTTTTGGGG